GAGCACTGACCCGTGGGGCCTTCACCGGGGTTTTGACCATCCCCCAGGGACTTCCTCACTCACTGAGAGGCTTCCTGTATCAGGTCTGGGGTACCAGGCGTGGCAAATGAGTGACCCTGATCCCAGGAGTGAACAGGCTGCCTGGGAACATGGGCCGCCCACTCCAGCAGCCTGTCCCTAGGCTCGGGCAAGTGCACAGGAAGGGGGAACGGTTCCTCCCTGGCCCAGCCCTGGGCTCTGCAGCATGGGGGCCCCATTCGGGTTGGCCTCAGTGCTCCCTGGTAGTCTTCCATCATGCTGATCCAAGCCCACCCCCACCCCCTGTGGCCGGCGGGTGGGAGGAGCACAGAGAGCAGCCAGCAAGCTCAAGGCTGCTCCAGGGACTCAGCTGGAGCTTCAGGCTTTTGGAGACTAAGCGGGCCCCCCTGCCCGGGTCCCTGGAGCCTCCTGGCTAGATGTGTGTCTCCCCAACAGTGGTGCTGATGACCTGCTGCCCATCCTGTCCTTTGTGGCGCTGAAGAGTGGCCTCCCTCAGTTGGTGTCGGAGTGTGCAGCCCTGGAGGAGTTCATCCATGAGAGGTGGGGTCCTCGAGCCTGTCCCTGGGCCACCTCAGCACGCAGCCCAGAGGAGCCCCCGACAGCCCCTGTGGGACCTCAGCACTGAGGTTCTGCCCCACAGCCCCTTCAGTGACAGGTGCCGGTATCGCCTCCATGCAGGTACCTGATAGGAGAGGAGGGCTACTGCCTGACATCCCTGCAGAGCGCCCTGAGCTACGTGGAGCTGCTGCCCCGGCGGGCCCTGGGCAAGTAGTGGAGGACCAGCCGGCCAGGGACTGGCCAGGAGACACCTGCACGGGGCAGCAGGCCAGCCGTGGAGGGGCTCTTGCCCCCGCGTGACATCGGCCCCCAGGGCTCAAGGAGGCCCCTCTGCTCCTGGGAGGATGAACGTCCTGGCGGCTCGGGCCGCTGACAGCTAGCACGAGGACTGAAGGGGCTATGGGCCTGGCCGAGGGCAGCTCTGCTCCCCTACATTCCTGTGACGTTCGGAACCCCCTGAGCCAGGTTGTTGTCTGAGTCCAGAAGAGAGCTGATCGCCCCCACAGAGGCCCAAGGCCCAGGTGGCTTCAGACCGTGCTGTTTATTTATTGGACACTGACCACTCTGTCCTGGAGGCCCAGGTGTCCCCAGGGCATCTGCCCATGTCTGGGACCTCTGAGCCACACTTCACCCTTGGCGGTGGGCCTGGAAATCCTGAGACCCTCCACCACCAATCCCCACCCCCACTCAGCCCCTTTGGGGTCGGTGCGAACCCTGGGTCAGACCTGCCTGTAGCCCACCGCCTGCCCACAAACTGTTACAGGCCCCTGGGCAGCCACTGACCCAACTGGAAATAAAAAGGTCACTGGCCTCTCCCTCCACGTGGCTCATTTGCTCCTCATCCTACTGGCCTGCCTGAGGCCTAAGTAGTACAGCCACGTCTGGCTGACCGGCAGGAACCAGACAGTCCCAGAGACCCTGGGGGGGGTTCACTGCCAAACTCAGCCTGCCTCCCAGCCCTCTGCCTAGGAGTGGGGTCTTGCAGGGGCCGTTCTCTCTAGTGTTAGACACACTCTGGGGGGCCTAGAGGGTTGGCAGGGTCAGAGGTCATCACTGGGCAGGACCTAAGCCTGGAGCACTTATCCTGAAGAGTTCTCCAGAGTCAGCTTTGCTCTCCAGGTAGACAGCACACCCAGGGGCCCCTGGAGAGCACAAGACAGGTGGCCTGGACGCAGCCCCAGACAGCATCTGCCAGGGAAGGAGGTGGGCGGTTTGCCCCCCACAGCAGAGCCTCGGCCCCCCCACCACGGCAGAGGCCCATCATGAAAGGAGTGGGCAGGTCCCTAGGAAAGGCTCAGTTGGACTTGACTCTGCATCCTGTGTGCACAGTGTCCCAGGGCTCTGCAGGAGAACATGAGGAAAGTGAGGCATGAAGAAGTGACTGCCTCCTCCAGGCCATACCTCCCAGAGCAGAGCTGGCTTTGAGCCCAGCAGGTTGACTACAGAGGCCAGAGCGTACCAGTGGACATAACCTGAAGGGCAGGCACAGGCCCAGTGCCCTGGGGCAGCTGCCTGTCTCGGGAGCCTTTGTGAGCAGGAATAACCTGCCCACCAGCACCCCAAGAACAAACAAGCAGGTATCCACCCACTCACCCTGCCCTGCTCTCAGAACCTGGGGCCTCTGAATTCCTGCCCTTGTCTCCCACCCCTGCCCTCTCCAGAGGAAAGCCCCCAGCCCTGGACATGAGTCCCAGCCAGCTGTGAAGCCTAGGGATGATGACATCCCTGGTCCAGGCCTTGATGGGGACATCTCAAGGATGGGACTGTAAAGTCCCCCTCACAAAGCAGGTGGAGGTGAAGGTGGGTCTCAAGCTAGGCCTGACTGGGCGGGCCCCTGCTGGCCCTGAGGCTGTCTCCTTCCCCTGATCAGACAGCTTTCCTGCTGGTGATCCTGGGCCAGTTCTTTAGACTCTCCCTGCCCGTGGCCCTCCATAGAACGAGTGAATGATGGATTCTTCACATAGAAAATCCTGCAGATCAACAAGAAAACGGCAGGAGCTCCAGTTAGAAAAATAGCAAAGGCTATGAACAGTCTGTCTTAAGAAGAAGAAATTTAAAAAGCTAATCAGCATAAGAAGTGTCTGAAATCATTTTAAAAATCAAGAAATGCAAAGTAAAACACAAGACAGGAAACCTAGGCATTGCACTGGTGAAGATAAGGTTGGAAAATCCAGAGGGCAGTGCTGCCTGGGAGACTGGGCCACACATGTGGTTGTGCAGCGTGCTGGGCCAAGTTAAGTATCAACTGACCCACCTACCTACTCCACTCCCGGTTGTAGCCCAAGGTCACAGGAGGCAGGGCAGCCTGCTGGGTGATAAGGCAGTCCACTTGGTGGCTTAAACACAGGACAGCCATTTGCTTTGCTCTTGAAACTCCCGTTTCGGCAGGATTCAGTATGGAAGTCTCATCTCTGCCCCCCTGCAGCATCAACTAGGTCAGCTTTCAAGCTGGAGTGACACAAGGTCCAGGGGTTAGGGTCATCTGGAGACTTGCCTACACCTCTGCCATCAGCAAGGGCCTCAGGGCTGTGAGGACAGCCATGCGAGGCCCACGTCCATTTCCTGTAACTAACTAGATGCCATAACAAAACAACACAAACTGGGGAGCGCAAAACAACGGAAAGTTTACTCTCAAAGTCCTAAAGTCTTAAATCAGGGTGTCCACAGAGCCGTGGGCCGGCAGAGTGCCAGACAGATCCCTTTCCTGCCTCGGTCCAGCTCTGGGGGCTCTTGTAGCCTCTGCTCGTGGCTGCAAGTCTCTGTGTCCATCATATGCCTCCTCTCGAAGTGTGTAACCTTCCTGCTCGTAAAGACACTGTTCTGACTAGGCTTAGGGTCCAGTCTGACTTCGTCTTAACTTGATTATATAAGCTCACATTCCCAGGCTCTATGGAGTTTGAATTTTATCTGGCCCCTCACACAGCTGCTGGTATCCCCCCAGCATGTGACTAGGTTCCAAGATTGAGTATCTCAAGACAATAAGGTGTTTCTGTGACCTAACCTAGGAATCCACACACTGTCATTTTCATTCTGTGTCCTCTATGGAAGGACAGTGCCAAGACCTACCCAGGTTCAAGGGTCCCACCAAAACAGGGGCCTGCTCCCTGGAGCAGCACACAACAATCCAGAGCAAGCCCCTGAAGCCACTGAGGGCCGGAGTGGAGCAGCAGAGCAGGGCAAGGCCGCAGGCGATGCCACAGAGTGGCAGGCGCTGTGCACCCACCGTAAACCACTGTGAACTGAGGAGAGTAGTAGGCGCAGCTGTTCTTCCTTCACTCAAGGGTGCACTTGGAGGTGTGTGAAGTCAGATGTCCCTTCAGGGTTGATGCGAGCCCGGAGGGGGCTGTGAGTCAAGTAAACAGTAAGTGCAAGACTTGCAGGCGCTGTGCACCCACCGTAAACCACTGTGAACTGAGGAGAGTAGTAGGCGCAGCTGTTCTTCCTTCACTCAAGGGTGCACTTGGAGGTGTGCGAAGTCAGATGTCCCTTCAGGGTTGATGCGAGCCCGGAGGGGGCTGTGAGTCAAGTAAACAGTAAGTGCAAGACTGGAACGTTCATTGGTGCTCGGCAAAACACGGCTAGGCTCAGATTCCCTACTTGGTTATGATCTTTTTCTCAAAGTATAGAAATCTTTTCCCCAGTCAGGTTCCACTTGGCCTGGAGAGGTTAGGGTCCCAGAAATCGCGGAGCCTTGACTGCCCAAGGAGCGAACACATCCCTTCTCCACACAGTCTTAACGGTGAGTTAGGCAGGAAAACCAGAATAAGGAAATTGGAAGCTGTGGCCCATCTGGGCCTGGATGCCTGGAATCTCTGATCGAGTCAGAGGCCCAAAGAGGCCCACGTTGCTGTTCTGTTTTTTCTTTTGGGAGGAGCGCACGAGGAACTACCCTGCTCGCGAATGGAACCCGGGGCCCCCAGCAGCGGAAGCGCGGAGTCCCACCAAATGGACCAACGGGTTGCTGTTTTAAATCACACGGAAACGCAAGTCTGGCGCCCACCTTGAGCGCCGGCCCCGCCCAGCCAGAGGGCGGCTCCGCCCTCTTCCCCAAGTCTGGTCATCCCCGTTAGGCGACGAGAAGGGTCCCGCCCCCTCGCGGTAGCCCCGCCCTCAAGATTCGGCCCGGGACCCCGACGTGCCCAGGAGGAGCCCCGGTACCTGCTTCCCTGGAGGCCTAGCGTTCCCAAGGGACCAGCTCTGGTGGTCTGCTCCCGCGGCAGGAGAGCGCCCCGTGCCAGCCTGGGTAGGAGCGCCCGCTGTGCACCCCTCATGGGCAGTCCAGGTGCGTTGCTTTTGTGCACCCCGGCCCTGACCAGGCCCCGCCCCCGAAGAGACTCCGCCCAGAACGTCCGGGCCAAAGCCGAGGGGCGGAGCCGTCCCCGGCGGAAGCGCGCGGCTGCCTGCTGAGAAGCCCGAACGGAGCGGCGGGCGCTCGGCGCCGCTGGGGGCAGAGAGGTAGGGCGGAGGGCTGCTGGGCAAAAGCGGATTTCTGCTTGGGAAGGGAGACTCAGCTGGCGCAAGTCTCCAGGGAACAGGGTGCTGTGGACACCAGGGGCGCTCAGCTGGGGGTGGGGGGGTACTGTGGACTCAGGCGGGGACTGTGGAGGAGCGGAGCGCGCAGGGAGGGGCCTCTGGGTGCTGACACCCTACTCCTGCCCGCCAGCATGGGTAGTAGCTCACTGTCCGAGGACTACCGCCTTTGCCTGGAGCGGGAACTGCGGCGCGGCCGCGCGGGCGTGTGCGGAGATCCGTCGCTGCGGGCCGTGCTCTGGCACATCCTCGTGGAAGACTTCGACCTGCACGGGGCGCTGCAGGATGACGCGCTGGCACTGCTCACCGACGGCCTGTGGGGGCGCGCCGACCTGGCCCCCGCGCTGCGCGGCCTGGCCCGTGCCTTCGAGCTGCTGGAGTTGGCCGCCGTGCACCTGTACCTGCTGCCGTGGAGAAAGGAGTTCACCACCATCAAGGTAGGGCGCCGGGCCGCGTGGAGGTTCCCTGCCCCGGGTACTGGGTGCTGGGCATCGTCCGGACAGAGGCTACCGTTGGGATGAGGGACTGCAGGTGTCCACAAAGCCAGATGGGTTTCAGAGGGCTCAGTGTGCCAGTGTCCTGGGCGTGGCCGAGGTTTCCCTTGGTACTCCTAGGGCTGAGAACACCTGTCTGGGTACCTGCCTCCTCAGGGGATCCTGCCTCTTAAAGCTTGTATCGCTGCGTGAAGAGCGGCCTTGTGGTCTGTTACCATAGAAATCCTAGGACAGGTGCATGGGAAGGACTCGGCATTCCATGAGCACCCTAATCCCTCCAGGATGTGGGCTGATCCCTTTTGTAGAGGAGGACATGGAGTAGCTGTATCTCCTATGAAGTAGGCTGGGGCTGGGGGTACCCCTGCATGCCCTAGGGGAGCTGGCCTAGACAAGAACCTAGCTCACCCCCCAGCCTGGGTAGAGGCTGTGCCCAGGGCCGGCCTGGTCCCTCCAGGTGAGCTGCGGGCTGGCAGGAGGGGGCAGGCAGGCTGCTTTGTGCTCTGAGCTAATTCAGAAGAGTGGGAAGATAATGACGTCATTGGGCACGTGGGCGGCTGCCTCCGCTGGTTGTCGTGGCAACAGCAGCCTCTCTCAGGGACAGTGAGCCCTGGGGCCCACCGCTCCACAGGGACATCTGCTAGGGCTTTCATTCATCCATTCAGACGAGAGGGCAGGATCCAGCCCCACAGGGGCCAGGAGCAGAATGGGCAGGCCTGATCTTGAGACGCTAACTGGCTTCAGTGTTGAGCAGACCTGTATGGGATCTGCTGCTGCTTTCCTCTGGCTGTGGCTTGGGGCAAGAATCCATTTCTTCCTCTGGGAAGCAGACACAAGAGTAGGCCAGCGTAAGGTCCATTGTTGAGGGGTGAAGGTACAGCCCTGGGGACAATCTTACACACAGTAGCCCCCCCATGTGTGGCTCTAAGCAGAGCACTCACGGGGCCCCAGAGTCATAGACTGGGAGACACAAGATCACCATCCTAGGAAACTTTCAGTTACTCTGCAGTCTGTAGCCTCCAAAACCTACACATTCCATCCATGTGGTGGAAAGCTACACAGCCTTCTGTCCTATTGGAGAAATCTCTCAGAAACTGAAAAAGTAGAGCTCAGAATAAAGTGTTTAGGTGGCTACCTGCTCAGAGAAGCAGAAAAACACCTGTTTTTGTGTGTTTGCATAAGTAGACACTCAGCAGGTACATACACAGTAAACTAACTAGAGGAGCAAACCCCTACAGGTGACAGGAGGTAGAAGGGACTCATAGGGCCATGAGATTTCTCAGCATAGGGGCTCTTTAGTTTGTTCTATGATGCAGGTGAAATGTATCAGACTTTTAAAAGATTGTGATGCCTAGGCCTGCCTCAGCCAATAATATTAGAACCTCAGGGGTGACCTGAACATCTGTTTTTTTCTTTTTTGGCTGCACGGCTTGCGGGATACCAGTTTCTCAACCAGGGACTGAACCTAGTGGAGGGAGTAGAGGAGGACATGAGATGGATGTATCTCCTATGAATTAGGCAGGGGCTGAGGTTACTCCTGCATGCCCTAGGGGAGCTGGCCTAGACAAAAACCTAGCTCACGCCCCCAGCCTGGGTAGAGGCTGTGTCCAGGGCTGCACCACCCAGAAGTGAGCTCATCGGGTCTGCAGGGGAGGGGGGGGGGGGCCACCAACTGGCCCCCTCCCTTGCAGACGTTCTCTGGGGGATACGTGCACGTGCTAAAGGGCGCACTCTCGGAGGACCTCCTCATGCAGAGCTTCCAGAAGATGGGCTACGTGCGCAGGGATGCCCACCGCCTCATGGTGGCTGCCCTGCCTCCCGCCCGCCAGCTGGTGCAAGTGGCCCTGGGCTGCTTCGCGCTGCGGCTGGAGTGCGAGATCCTGGGTGAGGTGCTGGCGCAGCTGGGCACCAGCGTGCTGCCAGCCGAGGAGCTGCTGCAGGCACGGCGGGCCAGCGTGGACGTGGCCTCCTGTGTGGCCTGGCTGCAGCAGCGACTGGCCCGAGAGGAAGAACAGCCACCCCTGCCCCGCCGTGGCTCCCCCACCGGGTGCCAGGCCCCGCTGGACCTGTACCGGGACGTGCAGGAGGACGACGGCTCAGATGAGGCCAGCCTGTACGGGGGGCCCTCGTCTGGCCCCGACTCACCTGCCTCAGAACTGGCCTGCCGGCCTAGGTTCTGGGAGCAGAGTGCCAGACTGTGGGGGGCGGGGGGTGGGCCATGGGAGCCAGCTGAGGCCAGCAGCCCCACCTCCGGGGCCTCAGAAGAGGAGGAGCCCCAGCCCGAAGCCTTCTCCTTCCTCTCACTGCGTAGAGAGCTGCTTAGTCGGCCTGGGGACCTGGCCCCTCCCCGTGCCCCTAGGAGCCCTGAGCAGGCCAGCCCCCCACCCGTCCCCGAGCCTCCCGGCTACCAGATGCACACTTGCCTGGCCCCAGGAGCCCTGCCCGCCCTCTGCTGCGACACGTGTCGCCAGCTGCACGCCGCCCACTGTGCCACCCTTCCCAGCTGTCACCCCGGCCACAGCCTGCGCACCCTGCGTGGGAACAGCCAGCGGCGTCTGTGGCTGCAGCGAGCCCAGGTGGACGCCCTGCTCTACGACAGCCCAGCGGCTGGGCCATAGACCCAGCTGGCCCCAGGTCAAGGGCTCTCTGGAGAAACTCCGTGGTGCTTTTCTGGGGCTTGTCCCGCCTCAGGCCCCGCCCACTGGCCACCCTGCTCTTCCTGCCGAGTGGAGTGTCTGCCCTACCAGGTGAGGTGGGGACTCACCCTCCATAGACAGCTCCCCACTGGTCGCACACCCCCCACTCTGAAAGGCAGGGTGGGAGACCTCAAAGGCTGCCCACCCCAGATCCAGTGGTAACGGCGCAGATGCCGGCATTCATTCCCCAGCTCACTGGGCTGGGGGTGCTCTGCCCACCAGGACTCCTGGGGCAGGTGCCAGTCTTCTGTGTGGCCTCTGCTCAATGGTGCCCCCACACCAGGCCGTCTGCCCTCCTCCCTCACACCTGTCACGTCACACAAATCACAACCTCCAAGTACATTAAAGGACACTGGCTCCAACCACGTCTGAGGAAAGCATTTATCTCTTGGATCACCCCCATTCCCCATGGGCCTCAGAGGGGGGGAGTGGGCACAGGGCACAGCCCAAGGCTCTCACTCTAGGGGTCTCAGAGCAGCTCAGACTCAGTCCACATCTCCATCCCTCCTCTCCTCTCCGAGTCTAACAGCCCCACCAGGGGGGGGTCACCTTGGCCTCTCCATTCCAGGCAGATCCCGGGGATCAACTGGAGACAGAAGTGACAATACGAGGTCTGAGGTCTGCTTGTCCCAAGCCAGCAACACCCGCTGAGATGGGCTCAGCCAGATTTCCTCCTGGGAACCGAAGGTCTGAGGCCTGGCCACAGGTGGGACCCAGCCCAGCCATGATGTGGCGTCACAGCCCTGTGGGCCAGCCTCTGGGTGGCTGGGTCCTCAGAGTGTACCACTGGCATCACCCCCAAGGTCCACACTGCTGTCCCAGGGCAGAGGTGGGCAGGGGCACAGGAGGCGCCGTGCTCAGCTGGAGTGCCTCCACCCATCAGGGTCTGCAGCGCCGGCTCTGGCTCTCAGTGCCCAAGGATGTGGCTGGGGTGGCACGCTTGTTACGGTGGTGGGGGAAGGTGGGCATGAGCTCCGGCTCGCAGGCTGGGGGTGGGGGGGAACGGACTGCATCAGCCCTGAATGAGGGAGGGGCCCCACACCACCCTCTGCTCCCCTCCTGAGCCTCCCTACGTGGCCCAAAACAGCCCCTACCCGCCTGGGCCCCACCACCCACCTGCCTTAACCCCCACCCTACACATAAAGACCCCCGGCAGTGCCAGCAGGGAAGACTCACGCAGGGGCTTCTCCTTGAAGTAGGAGCTCTCCAGGCAGTCGCCGGCTGTCGCCCTGGAGAGGAGACCTCGCTGTTTACCGGGCCCAGGCCCAGCCAGGCTCGTCTCCCGCACAGCTGCTCTGCAGAGCCCCCCCGGTTCCCTTCTTCACAACAGAAAGTTGGGTAAACCTACAGAGCCCCACCAAGGCCGGCCTGACTCATGCACGTGTGGGGCCCTCTCAGCACCTTTTCTTAGGGTCGTACATGAAGAGGAGGTTCATCAGGCGCAGGCCAGCCTCCGAGAGCCACGGGAACTTATGCTTCAGGTTGTTGTAGGGCTGCTTCCGCAGGCTGTACTGGCTGGCCAGCGGCAGCTGAGAGAAGCCCTGTGGGGAGGGGCCGGTAAAGGCCAGTGGCTAGCAGGGGCAGGAGGGAGGAGGGCGGGGCTGGCACTCACCGGCCAGATGTTCTCACTGGGGGTCCCCAGCAGCTGCACAATCAGGTCCACCTGGTGGATCTCGGAAGTGCCAGGGAGAAGGGGCTTATGGGCCAGCAGCTCAGCCAGGATGCAGCCCACCGCCCTGCAGAGGAGTGCAGGGTCTCCTCTCAGCTCCTTGGCTCCGCCTGGACCAGTCCCCCAGCTGCTGGGGGCGGAGGCTGGGGGCAGAGCTGGGAGGCAGTCATGATGGGATGATGAATGGGGTCTCCAGCTGAGCCACGTGACCTGGTCTCAGCAGGCCTCTTATGGCCACGAGGGCAGGTCCTCAGTGACGGGGCTGTCTCCCTCTGCCTCTCAGGACCCCAGGCATAGGCCCATCTTCCTGGGAGCTGATGAGACCCCAGCCCCACAGCTGCCCGCACCCCACTCCCAGGTCCCACAAGACCACCCCACCATCTGAGAGGTCTGGGAGCAGCATCCACCTCTCACCACATGTCGATGCTGGTGGTCTGTGTGGTGGTTCCCAGCAACAGTTCAGGGGCTCGGTACCTGCGAACAGAAGCCCCTGCTTTGCATCTGGCAGTTACTCTCCTCCAGCCTGGCCTCCAAAGGGCACCCACCAGCCATCACCCTGCCTGAGAGCCAGAGATGGCCTGGGATGAGGGAGCATAAACCCCAGCTAAGGCTGTCTCTTCCACGAAAGCTCAACAAACATACTGCTATCACTGGATGACCCCTGAGTGCTGCAGTGTCCTATGCTGGCCTTTCTACACAAGTTGGGGTGAGTGACACACAGCAGAACGCAGCCTGCCCTGAACCACACCCCATTTTGCTTCAAAATGTCAAGTGAGAACTGCAGAAACCTTCGCTGTTCCCATGCTCCAGTGGTGAAGCCACCTCCCCTCTGAGCAACTCAGAGCCAGCTGGGGGCGGGGCTGCCTCGGGACAGAACAGCACCCCATCTGGATGGGCAGGTCCCTCCCCGTGAAAGCACTGCTCTTTCTTGGCAGCTGAAAGACCTCCAAGATGCTCTGGCCACTTCAACATGACCCACCCACACCTGCCCAAACTTCCCCTGGTCTCCAGGGACTTACCAGAGTGTGACCACCTTGGGAGTCATTGGCTTCACTGGCATGCCATAGGCCCGAGCCAAACCAAAATCCGCTGAGATGGAGGCAGAGGGATGGGAGGGAGAGTGTCACCCAGGGAAGGCTGACCACTGCCACCTCGAGCCAGTGTGTAGTGTGTGCAGTGAGCTTCCGGAGACCAGCCTGCCACCCCAGTGCAGGGGCGCTCACAGACCCCATCATAGAGGCAGCACCTGTACCCACCTGTCTTCACGCAGCCCTTATCCGTCATGAGCAAGTTAGAGACCTTCAGATCCCTATGACAGAAAGAGAACACCAGTGGTTCCCAGAAACCCACGTGCAGGAACGAGGTTGTCACTGCTGCAGCAACACTCAGAATGCTTCCCCACACATCTCATCCTGTTTGCACTTTTTAGGAGGAGCACAGGTAATGCAAGGCCATTCGGTAGCTGGAAACAGCAGAGAGCTCTCAATGACTTCCCTAGAGGTGGAGTCCTGCCCCTGGTCCCCCCAGGGCAGCACGAGCCTCCCTGGAGTACAGGTCCCTCCGGGGCCATCTGCCTGGCATAGGGGAAAACAGGTACTATCCCGTCCCACCCTCCCCCAGGACCAGTTACAGGAACTCCACTGCTTGAGGCTGCTCTACTCCCCTGCAGGTTGGTGCCGAGTCAGTCTGGCGATCACCCTGCCCCCATGCCACAAGCCCTGCCCACCTGTGGATGATGAAGTTCCGGTGCAGGTACTGGAGGCCCCGGAGCACCTGTAGCACGATGCACTTGACCTGCAGAAGGCCAGGAGGCCTGTTTTTGGCACAAAGTACCTCACAAAGGCTTGGGAAGCCCCCCCACCACAGCCACCCCATCCCTGGCTACCCCAGCCCCTGCCTCCAACCTGGGCCTCAGAGAAGGGTGTTGGCATGTTCTCCAGAAGGCTGGCCAGGTCTTGCTCACAGTAACCCATCACCAGGAAGATGCTAAAGTAAGAGGGAGAAATGGAAGCCACCTCCCACCTCCTCCCAGGTGAGCCAAGGGACCCTCCTGGGCAGCAGGAAGGGAAGCAGGGAGGGGGCTGGGCAGGGCCTAACGTGGGGGCAGCAAGCAGACCGCTCACCTCTCCAGGTGGTTCCCCACAACCACCTCCTTCAGCTCCACAATGTTGGGGTGGCGGAGGCGAAGCAGCAGTGTGATCTCTCGAAGACTGCTGATGGGGACCCCTGCAACCAGGCTGGCCTTGGTGACCCCACTTCTGCAGCTGGCCCAAGCTCAGTGACCCCACCCCTGCAGACAGGGACCCCTGACAGCCAGATGCCTCAGTGACTCCCAGCCCTACCCAGCAGAACTCTGCCTGCTACCTCAAGGAGAGGCAAGGCTATCCAAACCAGCACCTTTAACCCTCTCCTTCTCCATCAAACACAAGCTGCTCTCTGTACTGACCACTGTGTATGGCAGCCAGCCCCCAGTGAGCACAGCACAGCCCTGCCCGCACAGGCAGCCAAGGGGCGGTCAGCAGGGGTGTGAGCAGCACACAGGGGCTACCTGCCCAGTCTTCAGTGGGAAAGCCCTGGGGAGGGTGACGCTGAGCTGAGACAGAAGAGGAGGCAGAGTCAGCCAGCAGGAGGGAGAGGACAGATGAAGGGGATGAACTGCACACGGCTCAGGGGAGCTGAGGCTAGGGTGTGGAGGAGGGATGGTGAGCTGGAAAAGTCCAGGGGAGACAGGCAGGGCCAGACTGCAGTCCCCTAGAGACCAGCCTCCTTTGACCATCATGCATGCACCACTCAGCAAGCTCAGGCAATTTGCGTCTTCCTATCCCCTCCCACTTGAGTGCAAGTGGTACAGGGGCCCCTCCCAGCTCACCATCCTTCTCCTTGTCCATCCGCACTTTTTTCAGGGCGACAATCTCATCCGTGTGGGTATCCCGGGCCCGATCTGGAAGGGAAGTGCCTCCACAGTAGGATCCAGGCCCACCCCCTGCCCTCCTGCCACCTGGGGGCACCCATGCTCTTCTTCCTTGACTGCTGGTACCCTGTGCAAGCAATAGTCCAAGGCTGGGAGACAGGTGCTCCCTGGGGAGTCCCCTGGTTTGAGCAGATAGCAGGCCCTGGGCTAGAAGAGTCTCCCTGAACGTTTCCTTCTTAGAGCTGGAGTGCAGACCACTGCTTTGTGTTCTGCGGTTTCTGTGTTCTAACAGCAAATAATGTCCTTATCGTGACAAAAGCAGCCTTATCTTTTTGAAGCTGCTCCCCAGAGCACTGTGGGGATTTGTGCAGCTTCCACACCCGCGGCACAGTGATGCACACCGATGTCCCAGTGGCTTTGGCTGCACCTCTGGCCATCGTCCACAGTGCTACACTTGATGGTGTGATAGTGACCTCCACTTACAGGGACATATGAACAATCTGATGCTTCCATTCACTCAGTCATGGTATGAAATCGACAGCAATTATATCAAGGATTAAAGGTCACCGGCACTCTCCTTCCAGCCCTGACACAGTTGCTGCCAGGACAGTCCCTGGGTCCCAGGCCTGCCACTTTAGCCACTCACATACAATGCCGTAGGTGCCTTCCCCAATGCGATTCAGCTTCTCAAACTCCTTCACGCTCCGGCACCGTCCCAGCTGAAAGAGAGAGGTGCTGGCAGTGAAGGGATCTGGCAGCTAAGGGAACCAGAGATGGATACTGACACTTAAGCTGTTCCAAAGAGCCAGCACCTGTCCTGGGCACCAAACAAAGGGGTGACCACACACTTGGGTTTGCCGTTGAGAAAATGGGGTGATGATACTGGCCAGACACTTTGAAAGTGAAATCAAAGTCAGTCCAACCACTCCCTTTCAATCCCATGGTCCAGATGTGTGCTGCCTAAAAAGAGTAACTACCAGCCACATTTGGTTAAAATTGACTAAAATGAAACTAAAAGTTCATTTCTTCAGCTACATGAACCATGTGAAGTGCTCAATGGCCCCATGCAGTTCATAGTGACCACAGTGGGCAATTCAGAAGACAGAACATTTCCATCATCACAGAAAGTCCACTTGAGCAGCAATGGTCTAAACTATGCTCTAGGCAATTCCCTGGTGGTCCGGTGGTTAGAACTCTGCACTTTCAATGCTGAGGGTGAGAGTTGATCCCAGATCAGGGATCTGAAATCCCACAGGCTGAGCAGTGTGACCATAAATAAATAAATAAACAAAGCTCTGGACATGAAAAAGCTTGAAGACCTTCACAAAGCATATACCAAACACAGTGGCAGACACTGTCTCCAACATCCATACATTACTTCTTCCTCTGTGTTATGAAACAATGCTGGGAGAACATGGCAACTCAGATGGTGGCCTGAGTTCCCAGCCTCCCTTGCAGCTAGGTGTAACCATGTGACTAAATTCTGGCCAGTGCAATGTGCACAGAGGGACAAGCACGACTTCGTGATCAAAGAAAGCTGGTTGCCCTTCACTCCTTCTGCCTCCTGAGGCAGGCTGGGATTTGGTGGGGCAAAAACAGACAACCTGAGTGCCTGACACACCTGTGTGATGTTAGGGGCACCAGAAATAAAAGTCCTGTCCTTAAAGCACTGTACTTTGGGGTCTCCAAGTTCTAGCAGAGCCTGTACCCTAATACACCTTCATCTGTAGCACTTCCTCGTGGGTTGCACAATGTGTCAAGTTTCAGGTTCTAAACTGCACCTCTCTGACTCTCTCTCTGCCTCTATTTACCTTGCCCTCCATCTTGGGAAACCAAGTCAGGGTCACCTGGCCCCGAACGAACCCCTTCCCTCATCCCATCCCAACCTAATTGCTTCCCTCTTTCCCTCTCTCTGCGGAACCCCTGGTGCTTCCTGTACACACTGCATTTCGCGGGATTTTGCTCCTGCTGCTCCCTAGGTCTAGCAAGCCCACCTGCCTCCTCATCTCTGCATCCAAAACCCAGTCACATATACCCGCCCAGCAGAAATGCTGCCCCTTCTCAAAACTGCTTCCTGAGCCCCAGCCGAAAACATTTCTTTCTCTGCAAGATCCCCTGACACTTGGGTCTTGTGGCACTTCCTACTGCGCATTTTGCACTGTCCTCCTCTGGGTATGCCTTAACTGAGCAGTTGCTGCGTTTCAGTGAACAACGCCGGGGGGACGGCTCAAGGCTGGCTCCTGCGCTCATTCAGTCTGTTACCGTTCTTACTGGATACTGAAGCGGCCTCGCACAGCACCAGGAAGTAGTCAAAACCACCCGCCACCAGAGATCACACCTGCCCCTGCACGAGCCGTCTACCTTAGTAAAACCACTCGAAGCTTCACCCTTCTCACCTCTACGAAGGGTCCTCGAAAGGACTACGTGACAGTGAGACACGGAGAGGCCCCGCGCAGAGCAAGGCACAGGCGGAGCTGCCGGGTCAAAGACGGGGCCCCGCCCAGTGCACCCACAGGCTGGTAGGAGACACGCCTCAAACACTTCCCACGACTATTCTCCCATGACACGAGGCGCCCGTCCCGGACGCAAAACTAAGAAACGCCCGCGCTGCAGCGCGCCTTGAGGAGGCCAGCGACCTGAGAGCCGGCCAGTACCTGGCGCGGACGCGACCCCCGAGGACCGCTGGGGTTGCCGTTCCCGCTTCTGCCGGAAACCTAGCGCTTTAGCGAGACGCTGAGGGCCCTACTACGTCTCAACCCCGCGCTGCCGCTAGCGAGGACAGAGCTACCAAAGAAGGCCCTCTTCGTACCCTGTGCTCCGGAGGTACCGTGAAGAAGCCTTCCTTACGGACACACTTCAGACGGATTTGCTCCGGCTCCGGTTCACCCATGCCGAAAGCAGCCCCTCGAGCCTTCCATCTGCGCAGGCGCAGACCAGGTTTCATGGGCGCAGGCGCACTGCCTACTTCCGGGCGTCCTCTCCTTAGCAACAGTTACCAAGGAAGTCTCCCCAAGATCCCAGAGAACCTCAGTTTATACGAAGCGCTCAGACTACCAAGATTCTAGCTTTATTTTAGTTTCAAGTACGGTGGCTCAGACAGTAAAGAATCTGCCTGCCATGCAGGAGACCCTGGTTTGTTCCCTGGGTTGGGAAGATCCCCTGGAGAAGGATATGGCAACCCGCTCCAGTATTCTTGCCTGAGAATTCTATGGACAGAGGAGCTTGACAGGCTACAATCTATGCAGTCCATGGGGTCGCAAAGAGTCGGACACGACTGAGCGACACACACACACACACACACACACAGGCACGTGACTGCGCTAGCGAGCTGGATAATGGCCACCGGAGGAGGAGGAAGTCTAGGGTGTTGCAATGGGTCCCGGGGGTGCGGGGCGGGACGGGGGGGGCTGGAGGAGGCGGGAATCTGTGGTGTCCTCCCGGCAGTGGGAGCTGTGCTTTAGAGCTCTCCCTTGGAGCACTAGAGTACCAACCCGGAGCCACGAAGGGAGAGGCCTGGCAGAGCCAGGGGGATTGAGTAGAGGGAGCGTCTGAGAGATGTGGAAAGAACTGACAGGACGCGGCGACGGACGGACTAACACAGCCTTGTTGAGCACCCACTACGTGCTTGCCCATGTCCGAGTCTGCCGTAGGGCACCTTACATTCTCACTGGAAGCAGTAAACAGGTAAGTCATGTACACGGCCTGCTCAGGAGGAACTACACTGTAAATGCTAAAATACTACCAATGTAAGTGAAGGACATTTGATAATTATTAAAGGAAATAATGAGTCAAAATGATTTAAACTAGTTACCACATTCACTTCGTTCTGGTTGTTTTTTAATTCTGATAAGCTAAATTTATAGCTAATAATGAGATTAGAATTAATGCCGAGTAAACATTGCTTTGGAAGCTTCCCAGGTGGCTCGGTGGACGTGCCAATGCAGGGATGCAGGTTCGATCCCTGGGTTGGGAAGATCCCTGGAGAAGGAGATGGCAACCCACCCCAGTATTCTTGCCTGGGAAATCCCATGAACAGAAGAACTTGATGGGCTACAGTCCTTGGGGTCACAAAAGAGTCGGACACAACTAAACAAGTTTTTGGATTATTTGCTTGAGATGCTTAGGACAGGGGTAGGAGGGCAATGTCTAGGTCAAATGATAGAAATGCAATAGCTACTAGAAATTTTATGGAGGAGAAGCATGCTGACCCTCTGTGATCAAATTCACCTTAGTATGGGCTTGACCTTTCTGTATAAATATTTAGTCATGGCAGTCAGACTGCACAAATAAACGTAAATAAATACAAATGAGTATCTTGACAATGTGTTAGTAAACAATGTCAATATGAGATGTCTGTTTTTCTAGTTATATCAAAACTCATTGACTGGAAGTCACTTGTACTATTTAACCACTAAAAAGATAGGATCCTCCTCAACAGACAAAGACAGAGACCCCCTATATGCAGCCTGCTGATCATTCCAGGAATGAAGAAAGCTGACACACACTGTCACCAGACTAAACATGTGAGCTCAGACAGGGCAGGACACTCTCCAGCCAACCAGGAGAAGAGTGAACTCTGACCTGAGGGCTGCTGATGAGGATGGGACATCTGAGGCTGTGAGTCCCCAAATGGCCCCTCCCCACCAAAAGCCCTCAAACACAGCCAGAAAGAGGGGAAGTTGTCAGCTCAACTCACCTTCACCCCGGGGTGGCTCTGACAGAGCCAGCATTCCAAGTGCTGGGGCTGCGTCCACACTCTCCGCATCACGTGGTACTCAAGCTAAGAGCCCTTCTCTGTTCTGGGTCCTGACACCTCAGAGTCCCACCTTTGGTTCAGGGGTGGGTACAGCTCCTTCACTCCCACTGCTGGGTGCTTGTGCCAGGCCCCTTTGGTCCTGAACAGGATGCATGCAGTTCAGAACTGCAAGAGATGCTGCCTGCTACCTCTCCATCGAGATGTTCAGCCAGCCAGTTCCAGCAGGGCTAATCTCATGATCACCCCACATTCACTCTCAGAGCCAGAGTCGCTCTTGCCCTCTGCCAAGCTGCCTGCCAGTCTTGAAGAGCTGGGGGGAACCTTGCTGACTGAAGGGGTACCTGCAGGTCTCCACAGGATGGGGTGGCCCTTCTGTCATCACCACCAAGACACTGCACAGGGAGGGGCCACGGCTGCTGGGGTGCCTGTTTATTCTGTGGCCTGTATGATACAGGCGTCTACTGTGCTGGGGTTTCTGTGTCGGGAGTAGGGGCCCTGCTCAGCCCGTTCCCGAATGGTTCTCTGCTCCTGCATGCCCATGGAGCCATAGCTGATCACAGTCTCTTTTGAGGGTGTGGTGATGATGATCTGTGGGATGGCAAACTTCTTCTTTTCTGGATTTACATCAGGTTTCTCTAGAAGGAAGAAAACATCCTAGCATTTCATAAGTCTGTGGGGGAAAAAAAAAAACTAAAACGGACGACGTCTGTGTTAGGGCCAGAGCAAAACAATTAGGTTTGTGGCTCAGGAAAAGAAATGAGCGAGGTTGAAAGCAGTCAGAACCCTAGGTGAACATTCCAAAGTTTAAACCAAGCAACAACTCAGACACGCAGGTTGTGAACCCTGGAGGCGTCCCCTCCATAGGAGAACAGGAGAGGCAGCCCCACCATCCTGTGGAGAGCCTGAGCTATGGGGCAGCCCAGAGATGGATGCAGGAGAGATACCTGGAAGAGGCAGGGTCAGCCCCACAGGTGAGTGTTCAGACACAGTTTCCACAGGATTCTAAACAGAGTGGAAGCTCTCCGTACAGAACAACATCAGTGGGGGTGCTATAGAGCTGGGGGCCACAGCGTTTCCTCAAGCTCCTTACAATCTCCAGGAATGCACAGGGCATGTGAACCACTACCAAATACTACAAGCTTAAATGCAGAAGCTCCTTACTGCTTCCACCGTTCACCTCCTGGCTTGCTTCCTGGAGGTCACCAGTTTGGGGCTCCTCCACTTGGGCCTCTGTTCAGCCCTACAAAGAGGTCTTTGTGTCCCGTGTGCACATGTGTCCTGAACAGAATTAGAAGACATCATCACCTGCTTGTTCCTCACTTAACACCTCAGGAACTCAGCCACCCGGAGGAGCAGCAGCAGTCCATTCTGTGCCAGACATTGCCCTGAGCCCTGGAGTAGAGACCCACACGTTTCTGAGGTGGGTCCTTTTAACACCTACGTTTTACAAAAGGAACTGAGGCACAGAGCAGTGCTGTCACCTTCCCAGGGCTGGCAGCCAAGGAAGATGCTACCGCCCTGACACCCAGTGCCACACGCACAGCTTCCATGCTTCTAACCACAGCCTAGGGGCCCACGCCTGCACTCGGCTCAAGAGTATCCTTTCTTCTTTTTAACACAAGTCAATGTGCATTTCATCGTATTTTGAATTAAAATTAAGATCATTTCTTCATATCGATTTACACAAGCTTTTTTACATATTGTGGTTAAGTTGCTAAGTCATGTCCAACTCTTGCAATGCCATGGACTGTAGACCGCCAGGCTCCTCTGTCCATGAGATTCTCCAGGCAAGAATACTGGAGTGGGTTGCCATTTCCTTTTCCAGGGGATCTTCCCAACCCAGGAATTGAATTTGCCTTGCACTGCAGGCAGATTCTTTACCAACTGAGCTATGTTGTATATTAAGACTACTTAAAAATATTTACTTAAAAGACATTTCACTTAAAAATAATCCACGTTGGTTAAAAGCTACATATGAGGAGAGGGAGGTGGGAGGGGGGACCAGGATGGGGAATACATGTAAATCCATGGCTAATTCATTTCAATGTATGACAAAAACCACTGCAATGTTGTAAAGTAATTAGCCTCCAACTAATAATAATAAATGGAAAAAAAAAAAGCTACATATGAAATGCTGCTTCTTGCAGACACTTCACACACACTTGCTGCTGGAACCACACACTGAGTCTTGCAGTGACCACACCCTCCCCAGCTGAGCACAGGCAAGCCTGGAGTTCACTGTGGGGGCCATCATGCTATAACAGCTCCCTTGGATGAATATAACTTAGCTTAGTCCCAGTTTCCCTGTTTAAACTATGCTGCAATGAACATTCTTGCATTTATGTACTTACAAACTTTTGGAGGTTTACCTGTCAGGTAAGTTACTAGGAAAATGTTGGCAAACATTGTCAAATTGCTTTCCGTAAAGGTTATATTAATTTGTATTTTCACTAAGAGATTATCACCAGGGACATTTCTCCACATGCTCCTGCTTCTTTCGTTTTTCCAAACCTTTTCCAAGACTACAGTGGCAGTGGAAGTGCTGACTCCTCCCCCACTGGTCACCAGCCAGCTGCCCTGAGCTTCCCCTCCAGCCCATGCAGGGAGGCTGGGCATCTCTTCACTTGATCATGGGCCTCCCCTCTATCTTCCTGTGAATGTCATTCTGCATTTTCTACTTTTACCTTTTTCTGTGTGTGAGCTTTTTTTATATTTGGGAAACTCGCCATTAGGGATTTATTAAATATGTTACAGATAGCTCCTGGCTGTTTATTATAGCTTCCTTCTGCAAGATTCATCCATCTGTTCCTTAATGGCTTGTAGAGTTTGTCAGACTGGGAAAGGCACTCCCTGGCTCCAAACTTGTAAAGACATTCACTCGTTTCTTTTTCATACTTATTTTATACTTGTTTTCTCAGTTGTCTAGTGAGATNCCCCCCGCCCCCACCATCTTTACCACAGCACCTCTTGGGGCCCCACTGGAGCACAATGGACACTGTGTTCATCACTGTGAGTTCATCACTGTGGGACACGTTCACATGTCAGAGGGTTCTATCTACTTTTCCAGATGCCCCCTGCCAGCCCTACACTGTTACTCCTTCTCATGAACTTTGGGGTCATTTGGTTCTGTTCTCAAAATGACCTGTGCTCTTTTGCTTATGTCACAATGACTTGCTAGAATAGGAGAGAATTAACACCATTACGCTGCTGAGGTTTCTAACCCAAAACAAGACTCCTTGCGTCTTCCTCAGCGTTTTAAAGCTTATTCATTTAGAAACATGAATCTTTTTACAGTTTTTAATGCACACAACCTGTACTATTTTTCAGTTACTGCCTGCAAGTTACATTTTAGTGGCCAATGTAAAACAGCACACACATCACCACGGGCTCCACTGGGTCAGGAGTCCAGCCTATGGCTCAGCTGTCAGCCTAGTCGTGTCCTCATCTGAACCTGGAGAACTTCCACAGCCACTCAGGTTGTAGGCAGAATTCATTTGTTTGTAGGCCAAGCATAAAGCACTGTCTCCCTGCTGGCTGGCGACTCTCAAACCACGGGAGCTGTGTGTTTCACAGCCACCTCTCTGATGCTTCCACCTTTTTCAAAGGCTTCTCTGATGAGCTCAGGCATGCTCCAGAAACGCTCCATTTGGGTTAAGTCAATACCAAAGGTTATTAACCTGATCCCGGAAGCCTCCCCCATCCCCCATGGTCACAGGGATGACCACACATAGGGCAGAGTCTCCTACAGCCTTGTTCACGGAACTGTGATCTGGGGCCTCTGAACCCCACCTCCCATGTTACCAGATGCCTTCAGTCTGATTTCCACTCACAACACGTCTGGGCTCTGGACCTATCATGTGTTATTCTTTGACCTCTTGTTTCTGTTGTAAATATTTTTTGAGCTTACCATTATTTGTTCTACATTTGTTTATAGAGGGCTGGGGAGAGGTTTTACTTTTTAATGTAGTCAAATCCTTCAATATTATCGGTAATGTCTTTGCTCTGAGGTTTAGAAAGATGTTCCCAATTGAGGAATCAGAATAAAATGTACATCTTATTTTTTGTAGTCACCTTTTTTTTTTCCAGCAAGGAAATTTCTTTTTTTAGATGACCGCACACTATCATCTGGAAGATGGTACTAGTTCTTCTCCGTTCCCCTTTGAGTTGCCTATATCAGTTTATAGTCAGTCTACCTTTTAAAAATTTTAAGTAGGATTGATGGACAGGTAGTCACTTTTTATATTCACTCAACCTATCTGGAATTTAAATCAGAGCATACAGCAGGAGGTTACAGTCCACCTTACATTCTCTTAAAATGTTAAGGAATCTTCCTAGCACAGTTTATCATACAAGCCTTCCTTTCCCACCTGATTTTGGTGCCAGCTTTATCATACTCTGATTATATATAGACATAGTGATATCGATAGGTATAGTCACTCTTGTCCGTGTTTCCCATTTCACTGACCTGCTCTTCTTATGTGAAAGCCATGTTATTTTAATTATTGTAACTTTTGATGTCTTTTAAAATGTTTTACTTTGACATTATCAATTTACAGAAGCTGCACGAGTAGCCCAGAGAGCTCCCTGCACCCTTGTCAACCGCCCTCAGTGGCAGCACCTCGGGTGACTCACCTCAGGTGACGACAGTAGAACAGGGCTGACTGCAGTGCACTGAGTGTTCTGAGCCATGTTCTCACCTGTAACCACTACCAGATCCAGATCCAAGGCCTGTCTTCCTGCCACACCTCAGTCATGCCCTACCGTCCCCAACCCCTGGCAGTCCCTAGTCTGTCCCCATCACTGTCATTTTATCATTGGAGAATGTTACATAAATAAAATCATGCAGCATGTAAATCTTTGGAAACTGGTTTTTCACATTTTTTAAATAGTTGATAATACAGTATTTCTATCAGATGAGGATTTTTTTTTAGCATAATCACAGTGGCACTGTCACATCTAAGGATATTATCATTGACTTTTTATTATCATCTAATACCCAGTTTGATTATCTCAAGAATAACTTAGCCCGGATCCAAACACTGCTTTTTGTTCATATGTCTCTCAAATTTCCTAGTAACTGCTGTGGACTGAAAGTCGGTATCCCCCTCCCCCCCCAAATGATATGTTGAAGGCCTGATTCTTGATGTGATGGTATTTGGAAGTGGGGCCTTTGGGAATTAGGGTTAAATGAGGTCATGAAAGTGGAGCCCTCAGGAAGGAATTAGGAGGAGGAGGGGACCACAACCTTCTTCCTCTAGCCGCGTGAGGACACAGCCATCAGATAGCTGTCTAGGATCCTCATAGGAACACAGCCAGATAGGGGGTCTCCCCAGACTCCAATATGATGAGAAATGAGGTCTGTGGTTTAAACAAAGCCCATAGGATTTGCTTTTTTCCCCTGGGCATGTGGCATCTTAGTTCCCTGAGAAGGGATCGAACTCCGCGTGCAGTGAAGTGTGGACTCTTAACCACTGGATCGCCAAGCAAGTCCCCACCCCATGGTGTTTGTGATGGCCAGCTGATCAGACCTATAAGACAACAACTTTTCCTCAAGTCATTTATTTGTAGAAAAGTTGGGGTTTTGTGTTTTTTTTTTTTTTTTCAGAAGATTTTGCAGCAGTTTGGAACTGGCTGACTGCCAACTTGTGATGCCTTAGTCTCTATAACGTATGTTTGTGGGTTTTTAATACAAAATCTAAAGTATGGACAGAAGCAGCAAGAAGCAAGTGCAATACAATACATCTGCATTACCAGCTGTCACAACTGCAGGCCCCGGTCACACCTGGTCTCCACCGCAGCACTTACTTACCTGTGTTCTGCTTAATACACTGCTGGGAAGCCACTCAGCCTGACCTCAGCAGCTGGAAATAACCACTTTCTCACCATTTTATGGGTCAGGAATTCAGCAAAGGCTCAGCTGGACAGTTATCACTGTGGTCTCTGAAGGGCTTCAGACTGCCATCTGAAGGCTCGACTGGACTGACCATGGCGGACACCCACTCGCCAGGCTGCTAGGTGCTATGCGGCAGCTCAGCTGCAGTCGCTGGAGGCTTGTCACTTACATGTCCAGCACCTGGGTGGGACGGGCTATGCGACTGCTGCTTCCCTATGGCCTCCCCAGCGGCTGGCGCAGCACAGCCAGCACCCAGGTAAGCCTGCCAGACCCTGCCACCCTTCACCACCCACCGCCTGGAAGTCACTTCAGCCGCTCTACTGGTTACAAGACAATGTCAGACCCGCAGAGGTTTAGAGAGAGGATGGAGACCCCCCCAGGTGGGAGAAGCGTTGAGATCACATCACAGAACCTGCGGGGAGGGAGGGAAGCAGCACCTGTGAAAACACATGCAATCCTGGCAATCCAGAACATCCATTTACGCTCAGAATATTGGGGGTGCAGCTCTAAGAGACAAGGACTCATGTGTATTCCATTTCATGTTTTCTGCAGCATACTTCACCCCAGACACAACACACAGTTCTTAAGTGATCAGCTGCAGTTTCCCACATCAAACACGATGCAGAACTTTCCAGCATCCCACAGAGCTCCCATGGGTCCTGTTCCAGTCAGTGCACCTCCCCTGACCCTAGCCCAACAATCATTCAACAGTAGTAAAGCCCACTTTTATTAATTGTATAATACACAGAATTTTTTATTTGTTGAACTCATTTCTCTAAAGCTTTTATGGTATTAGGTTAACTTTCAGTTTTTTCAAATATAATAGGGAAATTCCTCAGCTTTAAAACTCGAATGTTGGGACTTCACTAGTGGTCCAGTGGCTAATACTCTGCGCTCCCAAGGCAGAGGCCCAGGTTCCATCCCTGGTCAGGGAACTAGATCCCATATGCTACAACTAAAAATCTCACATGCCACAACTAAGACCCAGAGCAGTCAAATGAATGAATAAATAAAAACGGTTATTTAAAAAAAAAAATGTGAATGAGAAGGTGCCCCTGCCCTTCTCGAGGTGGTCCTCCTGGCAAAGCAGGTATCTGTCCTCACTCCTGGTTCCCACCAAGGCCACCAAGTCCAGCGGCTGGTCTCATTCACTAGTGTTCCCTGGGTTTACTCCACCTCTCTGCAGCAGTCAACACTGCCAACAAGTTCTCCTTTCCTAACAACTTGATTCAGTATAATTTAAAAACCATGAAACTTACCTGTGTAAAGCATACAATTCAATGGAATTTAGTAAACTTTCAAAGTTGGGCACCCATTGACTGAGTTTTTAAGTCTATTTCCATCCTTCTCCGAAGAGCCCTTGTGCCCACCCTTGGCCCAGGCTCCTTCCATGTGGAGTCAGCTTTCCCGGACTTTTCTTGTAAGCAGAGCAGGACCTGTGCCTGGCTTCTTTCACTCCTATCTGCTCTGGGGCGTGCTTCCCAGAACAGCGTGTGCCAGGGGCATGTGCCATGTGACAGCACTCTTCACCTGCTTTCTGGGAAGTCCATCCTCATTCTGCCCCCGAAGTGAGGGTGTGACACACATGGCCACACCTTTGTTTGCAGGCACAGGTCCAGCCCATCCTGGAGAGCTGGGCACTCAGGCCTCTGGGGGACAGTTCCCCTGCTAATACAAAGCAAGGTAACGCCCCTCACAAACGAGACATAGTCTGTGTGCGTGCCACTGAAACCTGTCCAGCCCTCTGCGGACCATGGACACTGAGGGTGGCCAAGTGTGAACACACAGTCCTGGATGCTGCCACGCCCAGGGCCCGGCCTCTGACCTCTCCCTTACTTGGAAGACACTGAGCCCCTCAGGAGTAAAGCTCTTCTGTGACTGGCGGCCAAAAGCTTCCTGACAGACTGGCAGCAATTTTCCAAACCTCCCCTAGGACTCTGGCCCTTTCTGCCTTAAATTAGAGCTTATGAATTGGAACTTGAAGTCCAGGCCTCGCTCCCATGGCCAGCGTGCTCCTCTCAAACAGTTTCCTGCCTTTGATGACCCCAAAGGGACTTCAGTGTGAAGCTCCATGCCCAGCTTCTCTCTCCTCCTGTCCTTGTCTGATGCACCGGCCGTCTATTCTTATGGTCACCAAAGCCCACCACCCTAGTTCCTCTCTTTGCACCCACATCCTGTCAGACAGCAATTCCCCCTGCCACAGCCCCACTACTTCCTACTCTGCCGCGGGCCCAAACCTCCCTCTCGATCCCGCGCCAGGGTAGCTGCTCAGGCTCCAGTCTGTGGAATGCGGAGGGAGTGGCAGTGGGGCCAAAGGTGTGCCCTCGGGAGGGGTGCAGGCTGCTTTGGGTCTGCACATGGCTTGGCCCTCCTTGATGTGTGTTATGCAGCTAACACTTGGGAACTTAAAACCAATTACATTTAACTTAAATGTAAACTTATTACATTTTCCACCAGAACTCTCATATTTACCCACTAGATAAAGGTCCCCAAACCTTCTCCATCATCAAGGCACGCCCCCGGCTACTAGCACTCCACCGCAGGCTCCTGTGTGCCCCATCCTCAAATACACGTCTGGTTCCGGAGTGTCCTACCTCCCCATTCAGATGAAGGCCACTGCCGCTTAGCCGCCCCTTTCTCCTCACGGAAGCTCTCCACAAGCTTGGTGTCTGGAGGCTTCTTGGACTCTTGTGAAGGTCTGTCCACCCGCCTTTTCTCAGCCTTTGGGACTATGCAAGTGCGCCGGGTCTTCGACTCATCATCTGAAAATACATGTGCAATTAACTGGACCTATTTTACTGATTCTGGGCAATGGACCCCATCCTTCAGTTGCCTGCTCTGGTCAGAATGAAATAAAATAGCTTGAAAGACTTGCGGCACTCCATTTCCCTACATGTGGATACTTCCCCGGATGAAAAGGTCCCCGAGGCACCGTCCTCAGAGAGGACTCGGCGCCGGAAGATTTACGGGGGCGGTGCCGCGCCCCAAGACCACGGGCCACCGGCCCTTTACCTTTCCCCAGTTTGCGTTTGCTTTTGGAAAGGCCCATAGGTGAGCCCACAGCCCCAGGCCCCCACCAGCGTCAGTCCCAGCCCCTGCACCACAGTGGGCGCCCTGCCCACTGACTCACAGACGCCCGACAGCCACCACCCAAGCCCGCGCGGTCACCACGGCAACACCACCGCCCGCGGGACCAGTCAGTCCTCTCGCGAGAGCGCCCCGCCGCCGGAAATAGGTGAGACCCGGAAGTGCCCTCCCGCCCTCCGGTCGGCTCGCCAGCCCCGGTTGGTTCTGTTGACGCCGCTGGAAGATCCTGTGGGTCTGCCTTTCCCAAGCCTGCCGCTGCCGGACCAGCCATGGACGGTGAGAGGCCGCCGCCCTCCGGGGCTGCATGGGGCGGGGTCGCCTTTCCCGCGGGCGGGGCTTAGGCGGGGGCCCCTGGCCTCGATCCCAGACCCTGAAACCCGATCCCGGACTCCAGGGCCTGAACCCGGGACCCCAGTCCCCTACCCCATAACCCGGGACCTCGACCCAGAACTCCGATACCAGAGCCCCTTCTCTGATCCCCGCCCGCTTCCCCGGCTCTCCCCAGCGACCGGCTGCTCCTGCCCCCGCCCCCCGCCCCCGCTTGCCAAGCTGCGGTACTGGTGAGGGACATCAGGGATTTGGGCCCTGGGATTCCAGGTCAGAGGGCACCCGAAAAGGAGGCAGTTGTACCAGTGCCCCCAGAACACTACCAAGAGAAATAAGAGCTAAGGTAAAAAATCCTCATTAGGTACAGGCACAGAAGTTCTTGAGGTAGGAACCATATGATCCCATTCCGCAGATGGGAAAACAGGCTGGAAGGGAGTCCGTGCAGGCGCAGGCCCCAGGTGGCTTGGTCGTCCATCTAGTCTTCCACAGCTAGCAGTACCACCACAGGGCTCTCTGCCCTGCTCTGCCTAGGAACAGGAAGCATCGGTGATAAAATG